CAAGGATATTGCAGTGCTGATGGTACCTGTGCACCACATGGGCTTTGGAATGCTACTAAGTGTAGTTTTGGTACACCTATTTTTGTTTCTCTACCACATTTCTTGGGAGCTGATCCTAAATTGCGGGAAGCTGTTGAGGGTGTGTCTCCACCGAAAAAGGAACTGCATCAGACTAGGTTGGAGTTTCATCCGTATATGGGTTTCATCATGCAGGGATGGAATAGGATCCAGACTAATATTCAAGTGCAGAAGAGTTTCGGGATGAGTGAATTGGGCATGTTTGAAGATGATATTATCCTGCCTGTTGCCTGGATGGAATTTGTAAGTAAATTTTTTTTTATAAAATTTAATAAATTATTAAATAATTCGCATGTTTTTAAAAGAAATGAGAATTGCTAATAATAACCCCATCTATGATTCAATTACTTAACTAAAACTATGATTGAATTTCTATATAAACTTTAATCATTAATTTAACACCCTGTATATCAATTTTTTTGATATTTTAATGATTATTCTCTTATTAGAATCAAAGATAAACCTAATTACAAAAAATCATCAAAATCTATCCACGCGTTCATGAGTTATAAAAGATGTAACTAACATTTTTTTATTTTTTGTTCTAGGGTGCAAAAGCAGAGGAGCATCCTGATTACATAATGAAAATATTCAACGATTCCACATATTTAGTCAACGGTGTTGATTTAGGTTTTAAATTCGGTTCGATTCTCATGATGGCAGTCACAGCAATGTGTTTCTTTATTGTTTTACTCCGTAATAAGAGAAATAAGGTCTCGGGCGCTTCGTCAATGGAGATTATCAGTTAAAAGTGAGCCGAGGTGTTATGAGGTGATAAGACTGATTTTTTTCTACTCAAATTCCGCTCAAATTTTCATATTTTTATGTCGTCATTCTCGTCATAGGTATTTATTTGTGATCCAAATTGGATTTAGTTACAATTGTTGATTGTTGATGCTAGAAATGAGTCTTTAACTAGTTTTAAATGGGAAATACTCATGGTATCCGTCCTTTA